TTATAACAGCACCCAACCAGTATATGAGCAAAATAATGATACGTAGATTTAGTAAGTAATATATGGTGTTCGGTTACTTGAAACTTCATCGTCGCTTGGCAGTGGACTTGTTAAGCGCATTTGCAGTGCTTCTCTGGTTGTCGACTAATTGTGCCAAATTTTTGAATTTATATTTGCTCATTTTTTTCATTTTGTTCCTTTCTTTTTCGGTACTCTTCGGTACGAGTACTTTTAATTTAAAAAGCTCCATATTTGGTACTTGTACATTGCTACCTCTGCGAAACAGCACATGTCAGTTACCAGCTGGCAAAACGTACTTGTTAGGTTTTGGTTGTAAAAGTTTTCCATTATATTTTATTTTATTATTCTTTTCTTTTAATTTGAAGATATCAGTATATCAGAGTATATCAGTCCCACATATGCAGTCACACCTACGCTGCTCTGCATTCCTCTGTACTCAACCACATGCTTCACCACTTCACCATTTCACCACTTCAACACTTCTGCACTTCAGCACTTCACCTCTTTGCCACGTCACTACTATTCAGTCACAAGTACTACAAGTATTTCAATGGAATTTAAATTTTCCTTTCATTGTCAATACTTTAGTAACGCCTTCATATCTTCATATGCTTGCTGGCGGTATATGACTGGGCGGGCATTGGGACAGACGGATTGACACTTCTGCGTTCACACACACTGAGTGTGTGGTTGGACATGAATTTGGAAATATATGAGAGCACTTTCATTCCGGTTTTATGTTCTTTGCATACAAATATCATGTGGCAGTTTGTGGTACCCATTTTTTCTTCCTTTCCTAATTAACTTTTAAATAAGTCTAAAGGAGCAAATTTGAAATTTTTATTGTGTGGTCCTTGTGGTATAACATGAAGATTTTAACTAGTTTTCTCTACACAAAATGAGAGTGTTTTTGTTTTTAAAGTTATTGAAGACAAAAATAAAATCTAGAAAAAAGTCAGGACATATCAGAATAGAAAAGAAATTACAAACTCAAAAAGTTCAAGTTTATTTTGAGGTAAAAATTAAATAAATTAAAGATTTTATATTGACTTTTATTAACAAAAAACGGAAAACAAAAATTTAAGTTTCTTGGAATTTCTAATTTGGGTTTGTCATTCTTGGTATTTGTCAATAAAAGCGAAGTTATTAAGAATGTAAGGATGTTTTGTAAATGAAGCCCATGACTACAAAATAATGGAAGGAGTGAATTTTAATTAGATGTATGAACTAAAAGATATATAACAATAATTACAGTATCGAAAGTAATTGATACATCTCACAACTTGTCAGTATTACCTACAAATTTTACGGTTTTCCAAATATTACTAGAGAATACTTATGAATGAGAATAATTTTCTGCCCATTACTCTAATCATTCTAAATATTAGTATTAAATTTTAGCCGTTTCTTGTAAAATTTGCGAAACAACAGAAAAAAAAAAATAAATTTCACATGCTGTTGAAGTATTGTTTTTGATAAGTAAGAATAAAAGCTACATGCCGGTTCTGGACCGAATAAACTATTAACTGAAACATTCGCATATTTAGTACTTAAATTGGATCCGGTATCAAACCATCATGACTTTACAAATGCCTGGTATCGCTTATGGAAGCAAGTTACGCTGGTTTTCTGAGTGTCTAACAAACGAATTCAACTATATTAGATAAAGAAAAAAATGTAACCTGAGAAGCTCTATTACCTTCTGCTCAAAAAGTATCCGTATTTGATTGTTTGTTAACTACTCCTTAAGTAATAGACCTTTTTCAAAAATTTCCTTTCTTGACATATGGTACAAATTTGAGCGCCATCTGTCAATTAGTTTGTTTACAGCAGCTGTTAATGTGAGACTACCTCAAGTGCATTTAGCGATTTTTACTACGAAAAATTCTTGTTGTACGCGATTTCTGACCAAACACGGCACCACTGTCATCGCTCAGGCACTATATTCGCCAGATCTGTGACTGAGATCTGAGACTATGACAAGATATTAAGGTTGACTAAAAACTGATTGGAAAGATAATATTGATGTGGATAGAAGAAAACTGAATACCGTTTACTGGAAGATGCTGATAGCATAAACCGAATAAAATGGAACCAGATCGTGATGGGACTGGAGGTATGGAGGCCATGGCAAAAGAAGGAGAATATGTAAATCTAGATATTTACTTGGACATAAGGCAATGCTTTTGGATAGAAGCACATTAAAACAATAAAAGTGTAATATCTTTATAGTATTTTCAATGACAATCCGTATAACTTGAACTTTTAATTAAAACCTATCAAAAGCCAACATTTTTCTTCTGTAATTTCCTTCTTCCTAACAAAATTTGTTCTATTTTTTTTTTCATGTCTCAAAAGACTGCTTTCTAAATAATTACGATATCAACCTCTTCCTGTGAGGTTGCACTCACAGCACTTACCTTTCTTTGTAGTAATTTTTTATTGTATTATAATTTTTTTTCTTAATTTCAATTCCATATTTATTTATTTTTAAATAACATCTTCTTAATACTTTTTCCATTAATATTTTTCTTTAATTTTTATCATTCATTTTTATGAAGAAAAAAATGAAAAAAAAATAGTTTTACAAGAATTTTTCAATTTATCAACTTGGAAAATAGTTTTTCGCTGAAAGAATTGCTTTATGCAAAAGAAAACGAAAACAAAGTTCAGTGCAGTTCGGAAAATTGTGAAAATGTTTTTCCATTTCTTATGCAATTTTCTGACCTTAAGCACTTTTCCGCTCCACAATGGCAAAGTGCGAAAGAACTTTAATGTGTACTATCTCAAGACGTAGGGAAAAAACACTAAAACTACGAATTTTGTTTATGTACGCAATTGCATGTTAAATAATTTTTTTGTATTCAAATTGTTTAGAAATTTTAAACCAAAAAAAAAAAAATAACATAATATTTCAATATACAAACTCTCAAAATTTAAGGATAAAATTAACAGAAAAATATTTACTTCTCTTTTAGAACATATCTGAACCTACAAAAACTCTTCTACTCTGTAGTTCATTTTATTAGTTTCATTATTTTTGAGAGCTTCTGTTCCACTTGTGTCTACTGTTCGAAAAAACTTACTCTAGACTTCGTGAAGAATGCGTTTTTTATTTATTTCCTTCTTCAGGAAAATGCACTTACAAAAATGTATCTTGTTTAAAATGAGCACCTTTTCATACATCTTATATCTCACGTATGTACATATCTATATGGAAACATACTGCTGCTTGCCTGTTTTCAATTTTGCTTCACTTTTTTAGTGAATTTATTTTAATAAATACAACTCTCAAACCCTTTTTTGATCAGGAGTTGCAAAAAATAGTATCATTTATTAGTGCAATAACTTTTTATAAAGAGTTTTTCATATATTCACATATTTGTCATTCTGCTTCATCCAGGGAGATGACATCCAGGAACAATGTGAATAAATTAAAATAAAATAATAGTAACTTTATATTTTTTATTTCCTATTTGTTTAATCAAATTAATTTTAAACGTCCGTTTTGATGAAAGAAACTCAATTTCTAATATAAATGATTGTTTTCTATAGAGAGAGGTTTTTAGCGAACAATAGTGAAGCTGCAACAACATATTTCTTTTTATTATTTTTAATTAGTTGAATTATTAGCTGACTATATAGTTGTATTCGTTTATAATAATTTTTTAAGTGCAAATATCGCAATATGTTACTTAAATATATATAATCCTTTGGTCAAGGACAAGCGTTGAACGACTAAGTGGCTAACCTCAAGAGCATACCAGCTAATACGAAGTTTAAATAAATTATAAAAATTGAAAATGAAGCAATTATATCTAGTATGTGTGTTTCTACACGGTACGTGTTACTGACAGCTATATCTACGAATGCGTAGAGCTATATAATTGTTGCGATTCTAAATAGAGTTTTGATGTGATATTTTAATTTATATTGCTTTCATATATTTATAATTATAAAATATTTATATCAATTTCATTTAATCAACTCTTTTATTGTAAACTATTCGAACCACATTATCAAAACTTCTATCAGTTATAGAGTTCAGTTAGTTTGAAGAAAACGGTAATCCTTCAGAACATTCCATCCAATACTATACAATAATTAAGGATCGGCGTAAATGCCCCAATTGAGAAACATTTTTTTGAACTAACTATCCTCAGATATTCCAATTTACAATTACGAATATCAAATTCCAAAAAAAAAAATTAATGATAAATGATAATAAATGAGCTAACTAAGCGTATTGCCCGAAAAAAAAAATTAATCCATAAAGTATTCGATGACTATAAACTGCTACATTTGCTGACTACAGAGCTGTTTTAATGAAAATGAGAAGTCATTGTTCTACACGGCCAAGTCAACAATGATTTCATTCTTGAAAGCAAATATTGAGTACGGCATTAGGGGCTATATAAATAGCCCCTAAAATATTTATATTATTATGGTAAAACAATTTATCGTATAATTGATATAAGACTCATTTCCTCAAATTATATAAATTTTCTATCAGTTTAGAGTCTCACATATCTTCAAAAGGTATTTAAGAAAATTTTAAACTGAAATCAATAGGCGAAAAATTGAATATTTTAATTTTATTGCCATTACCCATCACTAAGAAGTGTTAAGAGATAGATTTATACATAAAGAAGCCGGTTTAAATTTAATATCTGTACATATGGTACACCTAGAAATTTTTAGATTTTAGAATTCTTAAAGGGCTTAGCCAACATTTTAAGAATCCTAAATTTCTGTATTTAAAAAAATTCAGATTCATACTTTAGCGCTCAACATCAACATTAATTATTATATAAAAAAGAAAAAAAATTAATATATTAACTAACATATTTTATTTATGCACTTTATACGAAAATATATAATTTTCATACTCAACCATTAAATTTAGAATAAAGCAAAAATATATTTGAGGCATTAACAATAAACTTTTGAAATATATAGGAAATCATTCCATTTTGCAAAAAAACATTGAATCTATGCAAAGAATATTTGCTAAATATTAATTTTTGGCAACCAAAGTAGTCACAATCATTTATCTTGAAGTTAAGATTTTGCAATGTACAGATTTCTTGTATACTGCATACATACATATACTTTTATACATTTTATGCTACTTATCGCAACAAATTTTCTTAGCTTTGAATTTAATATTAGTTAGTGTTTGGTCCTCATTAGTGAGTGAAGCTGTCACTACTAATCATGCTCTGGCCAGTCTGCAACATTAAGTGATCATCAGGTACGCCAGTCCGGTCGGAAAAGTTCGAAGCTACATCGTTCAATAATGTTGGCATAGCATCATCTTCGCAAGCATTTTCGTTCCCTATAGTTTGCTGAGAACGCAAAACTGTTAATGTATTACTTGGAGTATTTGAGAGCTCTACCAGCTCAGTAACGGCACCAGCAACACTTTCCTCAGCAGGACCCATTGTAATACCTTCGTAAAAGTTACGAACAGTAGCAGCATAAACAGTTATTGATGGAAAGGAAGTCGTTGCAGCAATCATCGGAGAGGCATCAATTGGAGTAGCAAACATGACATCAGTAAAGCCCATAGCTGCAGGAACGACACGATCATTCGTGAAGTTACAAGAAGCAGCGGTAAGTGCGTTATCACCTACAGAATCAGCAGAAGTAGTGGTAATGATAGGAGTAACATAATTAGGAATAGAATCAGTACCAGGAGCACAAACAGCATTTCCATGAGATTGTCCTTGTTGCCTAGAAGATAGCATCGATTTCTCTGCGTTATCAATGTTAACCAGTTCAGATTCACTATCGTTTAGTGCTTTACGATTAGAGTGTTCATCGAACCGAATTATATTCCAATCGAATATATTGTCATAAGTATAACCAAAGTTCCTATATAGGTTGCGAAATAAAGAACGCAGGTAACAATGATCAGGACTTTCTTCAAAACGCAAGCATCGACAATAGTTTAAATACAATCGAAATGCTGGGGGACATCCACTACACAGTTTTGACAACGTAACCGACAACTTTTTTTCTGCTAAACGTTCGTGCCACTGCCGTTTATGGGCTGCTGCTAATCCTTGCCATGGCAATGAACCTTTTTTAAAGTAAATTAATACATACCCCAGTGATTCTAGATCGTCACGTCGTGATTGTTGTGTGCCTGCATGCGTGTTTATTGACACATATCGTGGTGTGCCAACTAAATGATTATTCATAGTACAAGATATGTGCTGGAATGTAGTTGGATTGCGGTACTTTTTTGCTAGACCGAAGTCTATGATATGCACTATGTTTCCTCTTCTTCCTACACCCATCACGAAGTTATCAGGCTTTATATCACGATGTATGTAATGATGCTCGTGCATATACTCCAAACGTGTTACCATTTGCTCAGCTAGAAGACAAATCGTCTTCATGCTGAATTGACGATTGCAATAATTAAATAGGTCTTCTAGTGATGGGCCAAGCAATTCTATCGCCAAACAGTTGTATTGGCGCTTAACGCCACTCCAAATAAAACGAGGTATACCAACACCGCCTTGTAGAGCCTTATACACAGCTGTCTCGAGTGTTAGTTTCGATAGAAATTTGTTGGGTCGCTTTTCTAACTTTGCCGCAATTTCCTTACCTCTTTTTGATTTGCCCATGTAAACTACTCCAAACGAACCTGAACCGATTTTCTCCGAAAGCTCGTACTTGTTACAAATCCTCAATTTCATGTTGTCACAGTTTTGTTAGCTGTAGTAATTATGACGACCTTTAAGTATATTTACTAATTTGTGTTAATGTTGAGGAATAGTAATACTTAATAGGAGTAGTAAAATTGATTTTATATTAAATTATAAAATCAGATTTCACAAAACTTTAATTTTTGCTAAAACACTTTTATTCTGAAGTATTTCTGAATAAAACATGTAAATTCATCTCAACAAAAGCAGTAATTTTTTATTGTCTATGAGAACAGCGCTTACTTCGATTTCCTTAAATGTCAAATTACGATTGCAAGTGTCAACGTGTATAATTAATCGTTTCGTAGTCAGTAATTACAGATTACTGAATACTCGGTAATCGAGTGCAGGATGCATACCAAAGTATGCGACAAGTACCTTCTTCGATGAGTGTTAATATTTTCTTGTTTTGGTTTTTACACATTAAAATAATTTTATATTTTTATATTGCTTTTTTATATACAAATCTACATCCCAGTACTGGAAAGCACTTCTAATGCTGAAACACAACATCTCTGTTTTACTTATACAGTATATGACTTTCTTACCGCTTTTGTATTAATTTTATAAGGGATATTAGATGGCAGTGGACTACTTATTATTATAATGGAGTGTATTGCTTTATTAATAAACACAGCGGTCATATGCAGAGTGACTATAGCGCTACTTCTTATTATTGTTTTGCATGTAAAATTCAACGGCTACGAATATCATTGCATAAAATGTATAATAAAGGTATTCACTTTTTCTTGCAATATCATTGCAAAGTGCGCGAAATGCTACTGAAATTCTGTGCTGAAGAATTGCAACATCAAAATGAAACAGCTGTTTTTGCAGCAGTACCGCACTCAAAATAGCTGTCACAGGGTTGCATTTTTGCATTTATGTTTCATTGCAAGCATACCTATATATAGTATAGCAAGATTGCAAGCAATTGCAAGAAACTTAATGTGTGTATTCTGTTGTTGTCGATTATGAACTCGCGCAATTTATGTATTTCGTGTACCTCGCAATGAGTTTGCAAGACAGAGACAGAATGATCATCGTCATTAGTGGCGCGACTATCCTTGCTCAATCTTGGCCTCCCTAATGTGACTACTTATAATATTAAAATTGTCACGAAAATGTTTTATCTTGAACTGTATAATACTATTATGATGCTGCTATGTAAACCTCAGGGATTACTTGTAAGAGTCATATACAGTCCATATTAATGTAAGATTAATTTGTCTAACACTCATTTGCGATAAAAATTGTTTATTATTATATGTATGTTAACATAATGCATTATATATATGTATTTAATAAAAAAAAATTGTTAACTTGAAGTTATCAGCATTTAGATAAAGGGTACTCTAAATTAGCTTTTTTTTAGTAAGCTGTGATGTGCTCAAAAAAAGTTTACATTTAAATGAAGCAGTTTTAAATAAGCACTCATGTCATCGCAAGCCAGCTCCTACTCATATCTAGCCTTTACCTCATGAACCACCGAAAATGCTTAAAGTGTTGAATGTCAATTTAGGAATATTTAAGTTAAAACAAAAGACCGCCTTAGGTATTGCTTTATAAAGTTTTTCGTAGTATCCTGATCGTATAACTTCAATTCGGTGTGAAGAACCTTGGTCATACCTCTCCAAAAGTTACTTAAATTATTTTCAAATCGGTAGAGCTTTTGCGAGTGCGATATTGCCTCTTTTAAGAGTCGGTTTAATCACTGATTTAGTTTTTCTGGATCAACAAAAACCTTAAGATATGGTCTTAAGATGTGGCCTTAAGATACTCATATATTTTGAATCATTTCATCTCTTACAATCACCTACAAGATGAGAAGCTTTTATTTCCCTTGTGGTAAATAAGCAAATTTCAATTCAATTTGCCTTTGTGCATATATAATTTTAAGCATATAAGTAGGAAGAAATCTTCTGAAATGTGTTTTGTGATTCTCTTACTGATCTTATTTACTTTAACTTATCAATGATGCATGCAAATATGTTACGAATATAATCTTAGTATACATTATATCTAAATACAAATAATTATATAGCAAAAACCAAGCACATCGCCTATTAGAATTTCTTGAAGTGACGCACGTGGAGATAAGATACTTTGCTTTGACAAATTGCTTAATCAAATATTTAAATTGGCATATATTTAATTATATCCAAATTGAATTTGCTCAGCTTGGCTTTCAGCTTAAGGCCAACGAACGGCTATTATAATTTATGCCTTTAAATGCTTATAAATAGTTTTATTCTGGATTAACATGACCGGGAGGTATTGACACACACATGCAGGAATGCAAATGAAAGTCAAACAACTTCACTGACACAAAACTTATTTAAGTTTTTCCGGTTGTAAAACGCATCTTCAATTTCATTGCTGGCTTCTTATCAAAGTTGTAAGAACTTTCCTTGTTGCAATTTTTTTGAAGCTCCACATCCTTGCAAAAGCATTCCATATGCATCCACGTATGCACATACGAGTGTATACAGTATGTGTGTGAGAATGGATGGTATGTGTATTATTTTTATCTGGTCAACTTTTGTTGCAATTCTACAATTTCTCGTCTGTTGCCATTCCGGTCGGTTTCGCTCCTTTCAGGCGATCCATGCCATTTCAGAATAATGCAGTTGCTCGCTCCGAACTCTATCCGGCTGCTAACTTGCTTCAATGTTTCATTGCATTAGCCGAAAATAAAATATACATAAAAAAGATTATGAGTGCATAAAACTTGAAACTATCTACATGCATTCATATATCTTTTTTAATCTTGAAATATAATATTTGCTAAAATGTTGGCATTTTCACATTTCTGCATGTTAACTTTTTCCAAGTTATTTTCCATCAATGCAATATTTGAAAATACAGAAATTTTTAACATTTAATTTCATTTGATTTATTGAACTTTTATAAACTTCCCCTTCTGTTGCTATTTTCATTATTGTTTCCTTTTATTGCATTTTATGTTATTTTTGAATAGAACACTCAATATTCAGTTTAGACTTTGTTGAATTTTTTTTGAAGCAACTTTAGGTTTCTTTTCCTTTTCAACTACTGCAACGTATTTCTAGTGTATATGAAACTGAAATTAGTGATAAGTAATTTAGTAAAAATATATACTTAGTTTGAAATTGAACTCTACCAGTGAGACTTGGCTTCTTAGAAATGCATTAGCAATTACTTTGATACTTATTTACTACCTCAGGTTAGTTTAAGCCACGCTAATCTGCTTGGGTCTTAGTCCTATATACACCTATTTCTTTATTACGATACTAGATAGAGCAGACTCTTTACGTTGAATTTCATTTGCAAAGTCAGTTAAGACGAAAGAAACTATTTTCTTTATAAATATAAATATTTTTAAAGTAAGAAGTGGCAAAGAGGCTTATTTCCAAAGACCACTGATGAAGATTACTTGGCAATACTCGAAACAGCATTGTATGTTCAGACAAATTTCAATAAAATTAAATAAATTTTTGTGTTTGTCCTTTCTTTCTTTGTTATTCGAAAAACTCTCCAAATATTTTTATTATAATTTTTTTCTTTTGGGTAGCCAAGCCGCCATTAAATCACTGGTAGGCACTTCAGTCATATCAATCGTAACTCAAAACTACCGTGCTTCCCTTAATGAACCAGCTAGTTGCATAAAGGTTCAACTTATTTGGGTTCCTGGTAAGGGTAGACATGCTTGTCAAGGCAAGGGCTCTTCTTCCGGACATTTTCTTCTTAGATATTGACATACCACTTGCTTCAGTTAAACTGACAATTAAACACAAATATCTAAGCATAGCCAAGCAACACTAGGCTGACGAACCCTGCTGTCTAATCTCTAGGTTGACTTCTACTAATTTGAATAAAAAATGTACCAGTCAAGTACTACAACTAAGGCGGAACCTGCTCAGCACTACGGTATCGATGCTGACGGGTGAATGTATAATAGTGAGGCATGCTATGCAACAAGGTCTTTCCTATAATGACCTTTGTTGCAGTTATAGCTCTGAGAACTAGGAGAAAACTGTATGTCATCACAATGATTTGCCATCTTTGATGCCCCTTTTCGTACTGACTTGACCGTGCTGTCATCCTGCAATATTAGGGATCTAGCTAAATTTATAGAACTGTCAGGTTGGTTTTGGTTTTCCTTTATCGGCATTGGTTTTATACTGATCTTTCAATCTATGTATGTACCAATGCTATTCCTGTGGTACCACATTTGAGGTTAAGTGGCATTTTGGAAACAAGGCCACCATTTTTTGTGATTTTGATTGAAACTTCATGAGTATTCTGAGGTCTTTTTATTTTCAAATTCCGAAGCCCTCAATTATTTTAGACGTGAACAAAAATTAGATAGTTTGTTCCGTTGAGATATTAAGATATTTGAAAAAAATATATGTACATGTATATATATATATATGCATAAATATATTTATTTTAAATTTTATTTTATATTAAATTTGTAAACTAAACATTTAATTTGTGAATTTAAAAGTTCACTCCCAGCAGTTTATTCAACTTTCATTTATTATTGTGGTGAGTGTAATTTTTATAAAAAAAATTGAAAATTAATATTGAAAGTGAAAGATACATATTCTGCTATTGACGTAAGAGCTTCGTACTCAGAATCAGTAATATGAAACCTCGGTTATACATGAATAGATGAGTATACTCAGTAGTGCTTGTTTGGAAGCTTAATAAAAAAAAGTCCATCAAGATGGAAAATATTTGTGCCGATGTAGCAACTCCGTTTTTCGAATTTATAATACGAAAAAGAGCATTAATATTTTTTTCTACTCCCATTTGCATTGAAAAGTTATGAAATTGATTAGTCTACTTCTCAACAATATTCCTTTCATTTGAATTTTTTAATAATTTTTAAGTGGATACGTTTGAGTTTCGAAATAATAATATTGATTTCTATTTAAAAAACAAATAAAATTTCATAAATTTTCCTGTTAGAAAAAAAAATTTAAAATACGTTATTTAAGATATAATATGGAACTGTCTTATATTATTGACTTATACATAAGTATGAGTATATGAAATGCTAGTCTCATATGTGTTTACTGTATATATACATATATACACACGGTTGTACCGATTTATTGAACTGGATGAAAGTGAATCTGATTGTTAAAATAATAACCAATCATCATTTTATTTTTTGGTTCACTTCAGTAGCAATAACTTC